ATGCTTATCTTTATATATATATATATATATATATATATCATATTAATAGAATCATAAATATTTAATTATACCTTTTTGTGGAACTGCGGTTTTTCGTGAAAGACGGAAATGTAGATAATAATACGAAGAAAAAGTGTAATTTCTCTTCGTGCACCTGCTGTCATGCGCGCACGAGCATGCTTGCTTTAATTAATCGTGCCACATTCACCATCATCACGGCGAAGACTTGAGGTAATCTTTGCACTGTGCCCTGCTCTGACCTGCTCTTGCTGAATGCGCATTGAGTGATCAGGAATGAGCGAGGCTGGACACAATAAGGATTCGCTGAACAATCTAGACCGTGCGTACCTTTCTCCGACCATTCGCCGTCGATAACTTCGTGAGGATGCGAAGACAAATTCTACGAAATAAATTTTTCATATCAACGCTTGTCCACTGTTGCATGATAGTTACTAGACTCTACAATTGCCGATTTCGTAATTAATTATAGCTATATTTAAACAGACTTGAAAATATTATTTTATATGCATGCATTTAATTTTTCATTTTACGCTATTGGAAGAAGTGAATATAATATAAATCTCATGAAGAAATATGCTTCATTATCAAATTGCAATAGCATTTATTTATACATTAATAACAGATAATCAATACTTGAATATGGTATTACTTTGTTGCGCTAAGTAGATGTCAAACAAGATTTGTAAGCAAAAATTTTAATTTTCCAAATATAAACGGTGAAGATGTGTGAATAAAAAAATTCTTTAAGCGAATAAATTATGCGATCTATCAATAGACACCATAAAAGACCAATCGGCATTCTAGAAATTCTTTGCAATAGAAAGATATAGCAGATATATCAATCAAAGATTATCATTTTATATTTTATATTTTGATATAGACATAAATATTTTGATGTTTGACAAGATATATACATAAATTATCATACTATATTTTTAAAAGACAATTACTAAAATATAATTACAACATTTAAATATTGTGTGTAAATAGATTATATATGTACATGTACACACACGTGCACGCGCACACACATATATAGGTAACACACTATTTTAATCAATCCTAAAATAATTCAAAATCTTTGAGTTTAAGATAAAAATATTTCAGACAAAAGTTATTCAGTTACTAGGAAAAAAGAAGATGGTAACATCGGTTGGCCTTGGGAAGATGTTCTTAAGGTCAGGTAAAAGTTATATAAAATTCTTTAAATTGAAACCTTCATTTTTAATATTCATATAGCTGATTTAAAAATCCTTTCAAAACACTATAGTAAAGTAATGTTTCAACAAGTACTTTACAAGTCACGGGGCTTAAAAGTTAACAAATCAACACTTAGTCAACTCACTACCTTAAAGCAATTAATAATAAATATGAAGAGAAAAACGATGATCTTGGTTAACATGTTTTTCTCAAGCTCAGATATTGAGAATACACTAAACTTTTTCACAATATATTTTTTGTCAAATATGTCGTTATTCGTATCAGAAATTTTCTGGAAAGCGCTAAAAGAATGTTCCGCATTTTCTGGCGTTAGATAATACCGGAAAGCTGTCAATGAAAAGCAATATATATACATATATATATATATATAAAACATATAAATATATTTACTGCACATGTCAAACATTTCGCGAAATGGGATAATTCTCCTTACGTAGACTACGTTCCGTTTCACACATGATGCATCATTTATCCTTATTCAATGAATGTTAAACAAGGATAAATTATGCATTATGCGTGAAATGAAATGCATCCATAATGAAGTAAATTTTACGCGATACTTATTGATAGATAATGTTCATTAAAAGATATTGACACAGTAAAACAGAGAAAGCAAAAAAAATGTATTAAAAATGTAATTGATATCTTTCCATCACAAGGAAATATAATTTTATAAAGATTGAAAATTGTTTTTCGGGAACATAAACAGTTTATTTACATTCGCATCAAAAAAATAATCAAATTAATGGTTTCTCAAAAAATATGTAATACAAATGAAAAAGCATCTCGCTATTCTTGATATTCCATTTTGATTTTAATGATCAAAGTAATGTCAATTATAGATGAATAAAAAATTACGAAATAGAAAATTACATTCATGATATATGATGACGTATCAAAGTAATTCTCATTGCTTTTGCTGCATTCAATTATTAACACCGTTATTTTGCTGAATATATCTATAACTTTTATTAAATTATAAATATATCTATAACTTTTATTACTGATTGCGAACAAAAAATTGCTAAAGTTTACAAAAATATTTTTTTTAATATAAAATTTTTTAGAACTTTTAAAAGATTTCTTTTTCGTATATAAAAAAGACAGTTTTTCAAATAACACACACATAATTAATATTATTTTTAAGTCACATATTATTCAGCAAAATTCAATGTAGATAATAATATAACATATTTATACATTTATAAAATGAATTGAAGCAGGAAAGGAAATTTAATTAAGTATAATCAAAAAAAATATTTTGCATTTTGCACTACATAAAATTAACAACAAACGGAAATGAAGAAATATAAATAAACGCGCTCGCGCAAATCATGATTTATCCTCGCGCGAAGCAACTGCAGATCGAATCGCAATATTTCTCATTATTTACATGTGCGTTTCCCATTTTTCATCAGAGAGCTATTGCCAGTTTCGTCGATTAAAAAAAAAATCAAGAAAGAGAATGTCTTCCTTATCCGTTCGATATCATCCTGGCGCTAGTAAGCTTACTTTCGTCATTTCAAGCGCATCAGTTATCCATATATAGATAATCATAAAGGATCTATTATGTATTTTTAAACAATTGTAAGATGCTAAATGTAGTTGTATATAATTTTTTATACATTATTTTCGACTTAATCTTCTTTTAAGTATTGTATATTTTATTGTTATGCATTTTCTAATCTAATTAGCAAAATTATATTGATAAGATAAATCGTAATTAACATTTAAATAATTATTTTTAATCAAATTTACAACTATTCTTAAGTATGCAATGCAATAAAAGTCCTCTCAAAATTAATTTGCATCATGTAATAAGCAAAGTATATCTAGTGCGATAAGAAGATAAAGCAAAGTGCGGAAATGTTTTAACATTTTTCAAGATTCAAATGATGGAAATAATATATTCTATTTCTTCCAGAGAAAAATTTACAAAACTTTTATCAAATATTTCAATAATTAGCAATTTATAATTGAAGGAAAAAGAACTATTTATATTTTTATTTATAAGTATGTTTAAACTGCATCCTAAATATAATTAACGTGTAAATATAAAAACGTGTTATATTATAAAAATAAATAACGTAAAAAAATTGTAATATTATTTTAGAAAAATAGATATATTCGATTATTATAATGCATGATAAAAGATAAATGATGAAAGATAGATTGATAAAAGATAAATCCATTTTTTTCCTTATTATAATATAATCAAGTTATTTTTTTAAAGCTAATTAGTCAACGGTAATGATATAAAAATTCATGTATATAAGGAAGCGATTTTATAGCGATTGAATATGATATGGGAATTTCTCTTCGGATTTGCGGAAGAGTTATGAAAGGGTTAAACGTCACGGGAGAAGCACGGAGTCTCAGTGCTCGGTAAATTCGAAACCTCATATTACGCCATCGATTACGCGGATGACCGTATTGGAAACTCCTAGAGCGAACGCCGCGTGCATCAAGTGGTAAAGAACTGTCTTCTTTCGCAGAGAACTGGGCGAAGATCGCCATTCACTGCTACAGAATAGCTACGACGTGGATCTTTGAATCTTGGTTTAGCAACTTCAAATGTTAAATAACTGACAGCTGACAGGAATATAAACAAATCTTACATTACAAAATTCCAATAGCGAATTTAAAATGAACAATGGAGTACATATTTCGACAATAAGGGAAATAATCTTTATTCGAAACAATCTCTTTCGTGAAGATAAAAATGAGATAGTTGTGAAATTAAGATCGTCTCATTTATAATCGAGAACTCCGCAATTATTTCAACATCTGTTTAATATTTATTAGAATTAAATGCTGAATATATTTCTGTCAAGAATTGAGAGTAAATGGAATATGATTTCTATGACAAGAATAAGACGTTTTAAAATTAAACTAAACAAAAGAGAAAGTCATAAATATTAATTCACACATACAAAACATTATATTTGATAACTACTGAAAAATCATTTAAAAATAACATTTCTAAAACATTGTTACACAATCTCCTTTATTCAAAAAATCTAATTATCTTTAATTTATCTCTATCATATATTTTGTCTATATTTCAGTTTTAGCTGCAACACAAATTGATATATTTGAATAAAATTAAATTGTGACAATATTAATATATTAGGTGTTGGAATTAATTCGTAGCGTTTTACAAGTGATGGGAAGTACTTTCATTAATGTATTTTTTAATGCTCATGTGAAATAAATAACATTCTTTCATTAAAAACGCTACGAATTAATTCCAACACCTAATACTATTATACAGTATTAAAAAAAAGACAAATGAGATAGAAAGTATGTGCTTGTAGTATAATATTGTGTGATTAGTTGAGAAATGATCATATTAGATCTAATCACGATGATGGACATTTACAGTCTAATGAATCGAAATGGCAATCTTTAATCTATTTAAAGGAATAATAAAAACTAGAAACTGTATAAATATATAAAAGTAGTAAACAAATTTTTTGCGCGTATTAAATGCGAAATATTTATATAAGAGGATTTAGAATAACATAATTTCTCATTAGCTGCCGCGTATTATATGCGGATAACTGCAGAAATCCTCGATCCTCCGCACATAGTAATTATGTATTATGTCTCTTGTTGATGAAATACTTATTCATCATGTAGGTTTATTATTATAATATAATTCAATAAATACTGCGTTGCATAAATGGGTCGATATAGCAAATAATACCATATATATATATATATATATATATATATTTCTAAGCTGTTTATTGAGTATTTATTTTTTGTGTTTAGTTTATTTGTACATCTACTTATTATATTTTACAATTATCCATCAAGATATTATTTTGTACTATTTATTTGCGTATACACACACACACACACACACACACACACACACACACACACACACACACACACGCACACACACACACACGCACACACACACATATATACATATGTATACCATTTTTGCTTGACAAAGAGTATGTATAACGTTATGTTATTGTATTATTATTTACAGTGTTAAATGAATTAGATCTTGTATTAAATTGTATTTTATCACATGAAAGATGTTTTACATTTTCCAATTTAGCGTACATAATATGAATGCTTTTAAAAAATATCTCCAAATAGAATTATTATTTTAATTACATAGCGATTACAAAGTTTTAATATTTAGTGCGAGATATGCTATTACTTTTTACAACGAGATACTTTTATTTTCCAAAAAGTAGATAATTGTATGCGTTCCCTTCTCTCCTTTTCCTAGTCTAATATCATTGAATGAAATTTTTTTCTGATGTGAATTTGTCGTATACCGAGGAAACGCTCTTTCCTAGACATTTACCCTCGTTCCTTACGTTCTCGACATAATATGAGAAACCAGGATCTCGTTATCTCGAGGGAGCGTCTCGAGCGCGTTTTGCTCTCCCGGATCACTGTGAAAGATTCTAAGGCAAGGTAAATAATGAAGCAAGGGTGAGACAAGACAAGGCAAGGCAAGACACGACAAGGTAAGAGACATGGCGAGGAAGCCGCCCCTCCGTATGACGAGGGGCCCCTCTACTTGATCTACCGCCTACCTGTGAATCCCAACACACTGTTCAAGAATCATCTTATTAGAGACCCATGCTATATAAACCCAACGTGCCAGCATACCGAGTAGTTACGTACTGACTTTATTCATAGTCGTGCCGGAGAGTGCATCGACGACATAACAGCACAACACATTTACACGCATCCCGTTCGTATATACATACGCACGTGTACTACATAATGCCGATTGTATCACCTCGTTTTTGTGAAACCCTCCGTTAAAAGTTGCTGATCGCGTAAAATCCTCGAATCGACACGAACGATAGGCGAGATCCCGGTGATATATCTCATCGTGTCTCAGTGATGTATCGTCACCGATTATTGAAATTGATTTATCGGAATTTTTTTTTTTTTTTTTTTTTTTTTTTTTCAAAACAATGCAGCAGTGCACAGTCAACCGAAGAGTTACACGCATGATGTAGTTCTTTTGATTGAATAGTTAAATTATTTGGTGTTTTCGGAAATGAAAAATATGATTTTATTCATATCTGTATAAAACATCGTCGGGTAATTTCTATGTGTGTTATTAAATTAAAAATGTAATATAATTCGCTCTTAAAAAAATGTTGATACAAATAATATCTTTGACTTATTGGAATATTATTCATAAATATTATCTTTTTAAAGTGTTTTTTAGGTGATTTTTTTCTTAAAAAGATAACATATTAATATATAATTAGTAATTTAATAGATTACATCACATAAAAATAATAAATAAAATTTTGTAAAATTTTGTAAAAAATAATAAATAAATTTTTATATTAAAAAAATACATTTTCAAAAATATTAATGGAAATTTTTTTTATGAAAGAACAAAATAAATCATTTTTTTCTAAATGAGTGTAAATTGAGAAAATCAATTTATATGTATTATTTGGATATATTCAAGTTTTGTTATATTAAATCTACTTTAAATAATATATAATTCGTATCAGACATTTATTTACAATTTTACATATGTAATATGAAAATTTTGAAGACTACGTAAGATTTCAGAGTATATAAAATATATATTAAAACATTATACTATATAAAACGTGTCGAAAATAAAGAAGTACAAAAGATAAATATTCATAATCAAATTTTTTTTTCTTGTTTGTACGTTTAAAAAAATATATATAAAGAATTAATTATCTATTTATTGCAAAACCGTCATGTAATATAAAAATAATCATCATCCAACGCATTCGACCCTTTTCCCCGCGCTCATTCGCTCACAATCATAAAATATCTTTCGCGAGCACATATTTTGCGTAAATAGCGAAAGTTGCCGTATCTCTCATAGTGTCCATTTGAAACTTTTTCAGTGCGCGTTGATTTGTCTAAAGGGTTCTCTCGTTGTTGTTTCCGCTAACGAGTACGCGAATTAGCGTGGTTCCAGCACGATCGACTTGTATCACTCGGCCAAAAGATGTATTATTTACAGGTACGTATGAGATCGGTTTAATTTGTTTAGTTTTAATTCGTCTTATATATTCATAGATTTATAAAAATTAAAAATTGATATTTTTATTATCACGGATCGCGTGTATTATTTAGTAAGTATAATTGCAATCACATTACAATAAGACGCGCGGTATACCACCCACGTAGTCAGCATATTCACATAATTAAGCACCAGACATCATAAACTTCAAAAATGGCATAATCAAAATTTTACAATTACGTAAAAAAATTATAAAATTGATTATTAAATTAAAAGACAAATTATTAGAAAGGCCTTTGCATATAAATCCTCACTTCACACTTTATTGTTCATAACGATTGCACTCCTCGTTTATTATCATTATAATTCTAAATAATTTATGATAATTTGTAGCAATAAAAATCAATTGTTAATTTATTGTCATAAAAATGATGAGATATTTCTTGCCTGTCTGAAGAAAAGACAAGTGATCTTATCTTGATAAGATATAAGGTATAAGTTTTTGATACGCATGAAACATTTAAATCTTCAATTGTCAATTATAAATATCGTTTATTAATTAAGGAAGTATAAAATTGTCTTGCACAACGCATTATGCATAAGACAATAAATCAATCAAAGTCTTTCATTTCTTTCCTTTCCGTGAAATAAAAGACTCTGGTTGATTTTTTTATATTTTATGCATTGTGCATTATGTAAAAGTCTGTGCTCCAACCTTATCTTTGCAAGAAAGTATGAAAGAAGTACGAACAAATTCGCGGAGAGAAGGTGCGTAGAACTTGTCTTGTTATACGTGCATTGATTAGCTAGGATTATTCTCCCTCTTTATTCCGTGCGACCTTTACATCATTTGTAAAACTTCACTACGACTCAATCCTTCCCCTCTGCTACCCAAAGAATGAGCGCGTTGACAGAACGGTTTTGTTATAAATCATTGCTGCTGTCGCCTAGTTAATTCACTCGCTTGATTAATCAAACGATCTCTTATCCCTGCGGCAAATCGATGATCATTGCATCTACGTTAAATGCTGTTTCTGATAGATCTAACTAACTGTCGATCATCTGACATAAAGAATTATGATCACGAGATTTAAAATCATCTTATTTGACGGACAAATTTCATATAAATAAGAGAGAGAAAGAGAGAGAGAGAGAGAGAGAGAGAGAGAGAGAGAGAGAGAGAGAGAAACAGAAAAAAGAAAAAAGGGAAAGAAAATGAATTTATTTCACTTTCACTAACAATAACTAAATATCTAACAATAAATTATGTGCAATATAGAAAAAACTCGTGAAAAATTTAGATTTTCCTTTCGAAATTCAGTTCTGCGGGGATCAAAATTATCCGTAAATTCACAATCCAGCTGCCATTGTCATTAGCGTGTCTCATTATTTCTTCTTATTAAAATATGAAGAAAAGCGATTACAACAATAGTCGGTGATATCATCGCCGGGCATAAACGTCAGATACGCGCCCACACGACGTATGCATCGACATTATGAGATATTAATGAACTAACGGGCACATGCAATCGCATTTGTCAGTCCCGCTGGAAGCTTCTCACGCTTCTCCACATTTCGATTGACTACTGGAACGAAGTTGCGACATCTCACGAAGTGTTGCACTGCCGCAGTACAGTCTTTAGATGCTCACTTTCTTTCTCTCTTCCACAATCCTCTCTCAATCTATCTACATATCTATCTCTCTCATTCTCTTTCTTCCTTTTTCTCTCTCCCTCTCTCTCCCTCCCTCCCTTTCTCTCTCATGTGTGTTTATATTTTATATTTAATACACACATCTTTTCTAGCGGCGCATTGCAATCGAAGTACAGGGTTAAGAGCATAATATAAAGGTCTTGACTGTTGCAATAGAGCACAGATTGCTTGCTTGCTTGCCGCATCTCCGAACAACATTAACGTAACACCGCCAGTATTATTGATTCTGTCTGCTCCTTTTTCACATCGATTTTCTTTCACGTCGTCGGCCGAACTAATGGCAGCGATGAATCGCACGTATTATCGCGCGGTCTGTTATTCCGCGCCGGAAAAAAGATTTGCGATAGAACTCCCATTGCGTTTATCGTATGCGAAATCGTGGTCTCATCGTTGCGTATGAACAACATTTGCTAACCGTTCTTTACTTCTGTCATATTAATTAATTCTTGACACTGCGCAAGCGAGTGATCCTTTATGAGTTTACGCGAGCACATTTCTATATTTTTGATTTACAATTAAAATCTGATAGAAAAAAATCGCGATGTTCAATTGCAATGTATGTGAATAACTTTAACACATATACTTATCACGTATTACGTAAGAAACCATAATTATGAAAATTAATAAACAATTTATAAAATTTAACATAAAACTTATGTATTTGTATGTATGTATTATATTCATTTCAAAATTTATTACGCATATCCTTCAAATAAATGCATTGCAATTTGTAATAAAATATATAATTGAAAAAAATTTCTGATTGAAAATGGACGAATCAGAATTTTCTGGTTAAATTTATTAGAATTTTAGTTGAGATAACTGAATTCTGATACAATATATCTGGTAAAATTTACTAAAATTCTTAGACCAGAATCTTTTACCAGAATAATTATATCAATCAGAATTCTAGTTATTAAAATTCTAGTAATCAGAAAATTCTGATTCGTCTATTTTCTACTAGAATTATTATTTAATCTAACCAAATCATTTTTCTCAGTGTATATACAAACATTTTGAAAATAATTAAATGACTGTTAACTAATGGCAAATTGAATAATCTTTATAATTTCTTCAAATTTATTGTTAATTTTCGTATGTTATTTTATTGCTTATAATTCATTTCATTTATAATTCATCTCTTGAGTCATGTAGATAAAATTATTGTAGTCATCACATAATAAATAATTCTCTTGTAATAAACCTTTGAAATCTTAATAATATTTATTTTATCTCTTTTACATAATTAAGTGCTTGATATAAAATTAAAAAATAAATTTGTAAAATAATAATATTAATTATATTTGATGTTAATTTATATCTAACATCAATTATCAATATATATGATTTGAAAACGTTAATATAATTTTTTATTTCAAAATAAAACATTTTTTTTCTCATAAAATCACAAAATGTTAATGTCAATTAAAGTTATACAACAGATCAATATCAATTAATATAATAAAATAAATATTGGGTCATTTAAAAAGTATCCGCGGTTTTTTCATTCAAAAATTGAACAAAAAACCGCGGATACTTTTTAAATGATCTAATATATTAATAAAATAAATGCGATATCGAAATATTTAAAAATTGAAAAATTATCAAATATATATTTATGTACGAGTTTATATTAATAATAATTATCAATTTTAAGATTTATGTTATCACTGTATAAAAATATTGTTTATATCTTAACTTATATAATTTCGGAACAAATAATGTAATAATATTGATGATAACTGACATTGAAGATGATAAATATACGATAGATTAGAATTATTTCATCCAACTCGTATGTTTCATCATAGACTATAATTATTTTCATCAATCTCATCAAAAGTCGCAACTCGCGGGATATGTTATACTACAGAAAAAATATTTCCCTGGCATCTTGACGTACTAAATATCAAATCCAGTACTAACAGAGGAGATGTTTGATTTATTAAAATTACACACCTCATAACATGATTCACGGTATGGCTCGTACCTGATAAGCTACGCGACAAATGTCAGTTTACACATGAGAAGATTGTAGCAATTCAACACCGAATCTGAAAGTTGAAGAGCATCTATTGTATATATAGATCTATTGCATATGTGTATGCCGGTGTAATACAGACACAAAATCCTATGGTATTTGACACGCAATACGGTGGATCAACCCGATAAAAAATTGTTCATGCATGATATAGTAAATATGTATAAACATACACGTAGAAATATTCATAAATATAAAATTATATATGAAATACGTCCATATTCATTCGTATGTTCTTCTTTTTTTTTGTAAAATTATTTTATAAAAATTACGCTGGAAAGAGTAACTTTACAAAAGAAAGAAAAATGTATGAACATGTATGGACATATTTCATATATAATTATATGTGTATGTTTATGAATATACATGTTTATGTATGTTTACGCATATTTATTATATTCATGCATGACAAATTTTTTATCGGGAAGGCTCGACGAAAATTTGATTTCCGGATATGCTAATCTGTCATAAAAACATAATCATTTCGATTTATTTTTGTAATATTTACGTTCAAAAGTTATAATATCAGATATTCTTTCTACGTAATAAAAAAAAATGAGGATAAAATTATGCGTAATATACTTTACATGCTCATAATATAATACTTTGCCTATATATTTAATTACTTAATACTATTTTTTAAAATAAAAATGTTCCTCTATATGATAATATGAAAATATACACATATATGACACTTTATGTTGCGTATATTATGAAACGATGACTGAAATATATCATAAAAATAGATTTTAAAAATGGTCAAACTTCTGCAATAATTTGCATGATAATTAGAAATATAAAAGTAAATGTGGAACCTATGCGAATGTCAATACGCATTTGTGCTTATGACACACTATAAGTTATCTACATCAGTTTACGACATCCTCACAGCTTATTATGTTCTCATTATATAGACCTAAACGATTTCTCAAAATGTCGACTGCTGACATATGTTCCGGTTATAAAAACACGTCTTGGTTGCGCATTCGTATCGCAAATGCGAAATAATGCATTGCCACGATAAACTTGCAACGTCTTCAACTTCATGAAATAACTAATAGCCACATTTGTAATGCTTTATTACGCATCAAGACACGTAATATTACATTTATTTCAGTTTCATTACACTGAAAATACAAGATGTTATTTAAAGATAAATGAGTCTTTTATAAGGTTTGGTAATATTTTTTATCAATAATGTAATACATAACGACAAAATAATAAATAAATTTAAAAAAACTGTGAAAAAAAATAATTTATTATATAAGATTATAAATTCCTAATTTTTTAAATTAAAACTGTGTGATCTACAAATTTTTTAATTTATTTCTATTTATTTCTTTCTAGTAATTTCGAATCTTCTTCTGACGTAATAAATAAAAATTAAGAAATTTAATTTCTTAATTAAAATTATAATATTAAAATTATAAAATTAGAACAAACGATTATTATATTATCGTTTGTAAAAAAACAAATTCGCTAGTGTAACTTAATTTTCGTCAAAATTAAAAATCTTTTATGTCAGATTATTTCATAGAAGTATTTTTTTAATTAAAAAATTTAATCTCACAAGAAATTCCGATCATTTTGTGAGCTCTATTTTCATGAAATATTTTCTTAAATATGAATGCAAAGAATTCATACTTTCTCTCACGTAGTAAATTATACTAAAGTCCTTCAAACTTAATAAAAACTACCCATCATAATGTAAATATAGCAGCGTAAGAGAGATTTCTATCCCTGACACTTCAACAGCCATAACAAAGAATATATCCATTGATTTAAGATCTAAGATTTCACAAAAGATGATAATATTCAATAATATTCAGTTTAAAATTGCCAACATTCTTTTCTCATTATGAAGAATTTCTCATTAGAATAATAGCAATATGCATATTACACAAACTTTACGAGATGCAACTTTTTTCTTAACCGTTTAGATCATTTTCGTGACAATTCTTTAGTCTATTGATGCTCGTTTTGATCAATGCAGATTTAACTTTAATCTTGATTTTAACTTAATATTTACTTTTTTCAGTTCTAAGAATTAGAAAAGGATAAAAAATATGTTAAATCAAGATTATATATAAAGTTATATTGGCAATCTATATTGGCAGAAATAGACAAGACACTCACTTGTTTCGATTTGAAATCAAGAATTTATATTTTTTAATAAATAGTATTCTTTTACACAATTCAATAAAAAAAAAACATTAGAACGAGGCTAGTCTTTCCCAAAATTTTATGCTGAAAATGAATCTGGTTTTCAAATTTTCATTGCTCTATTACGTCACAATTTTGAGAAATTTGCAGTTGCAAAAAGAGTTATTTTTGTATATGTTGTCATAGTATAAATACAATATGTGATCTGTTGAAAAAGTTTTTATGCAATCAAAATTAAATATATCGTTAGGACTTTCAGCCTTCAAAAGAAATGTATTGCGTCGGCTACAGTTGATAAGATATTCATGATTAAATATTGCAAAACAGCTCTAAATTAGATCATTTTACCAAAGAACTTTCAATTAAGATAACTCCAGTATATAAGCCGCACCTAACAAAAACTTAATTTATAAGTATTATTTATTATGTTTAAGATAAATAAACTGACCAGTAAAAACTTTGCACTGTCTACTACTTTTAAAAAAATATTAGAAATCCTAAATACTTATTTTTCGTATTAAAAAAAGAATTTTTTGAAACTCTTGCATTTTTGCTATATATCCCATAGGGTGGGATATTACTCATAGATGAGATGTATGGTTCACAAAAAATTTACAAATAGTTGCTTATAAATAAGACATAAAATGGTATAATAACTTAAAATATGTTTCTAAAATTTTATTAAAGAATGCGAATAATAAATATATATATGAAGTAATAAATAATGATTATAATCTTTTATATACATATATAACAAGTGTTATGTTATGAGGTACATATTTCATGTAATACATTTATTGCATTTAGTGCACTGAATCTAATCTGCGCACTTTGTATATTTTGGGCATAAATCCTATACGCTAAAAATGCGTATATCCCCCTCCCCCCCCCAGGGAGAAACAGGTGAAATGTCATCAAGCTGAATAATAACTAAGTTGTTAGTTTGCCATTCCATTCTCTATTATCCTTTTACACGTATGTATCACCAAATAACCATTAAGCCTTTCGCAATCTCTACAATAACCATTTTATGTGAATTATGATATATGATTGCGCTATTCACTACGTTGACAAATCGATTCAACTGATAATAATTTTATTAATACTAAGTAGGAAATCATAACACAATAATATTTAAAAGCGTATAATAGAATGGTTACATGCATATTATTTCCACTCCTTTTAGTTTCTCTGACTTCTGCGGTATAAATCCTCGTGCGGCATAAATACTGGAAGTCACGCCTATATTTATTTAAACTTAAAGATTTTTTTTAATAATTATAAATCAATTATGTCAAAATTGACAAATTCAAAATAGTGCAATCAATATGGCAGATAACAAAACTTAAAAAATATCCGAAAATTTATATAAAAATATAATTTGTATAGATTTTTTTTCATTATTTTTATTCATCAAATTTTTACATCAAGTTCATATTCAGCGATCTAAAAAATCTTTAAATTTAAATGAACATAATTGAAAGCTATTTGGTAAATTATCAATGATCTAAAATTCATAACTTTCTACAACATTTAACTATGAATATTTTATTAATCACAGTCAACACAAAAAATTTCTTGAGAGCTAAAAAACTGAATAACATATCTAACTTTGATTGCAATAAAGTTTATGTAGCACGTAATATCACGTTCATACATATGTAATTATAATACGACAAAGTACAAAGAAAATAATCCTTTTTTTGCAATTACAAGTACAAATTCTATAAAATTATGACGTGATAGAGCAATTTGTAAACAGGATTTGTATTTAACATCCGAAAAAAACTATAATATAAGAAATGGCTAGTCTTGACCTGATGTTTGAAAAAAATTATTTTTTGTTAAACTGTGTTATATAATTTAAACAAGAATATATATAAGCCAATATTATGAGCTGGCAGCGCAGATGTCTCTCACATCCAAAGCATGGTATTAACTGTACTCAGAGTAAATAGCGGTTAATTTCAATCTCTATTCAGATTCTCTTCAGGCCAAATGTTGACCTGCGTATTCTAGTGAGCAAACTGCCTGCATAACGACAATTACAGATTAGCAACAGATTTGCTTGGATGTTGCAAGAGATCATCCATGTCCGCATTAAACTCATTTTGTCGGCAGAATCTGCTGATATAATCTAATAACAGATTGTCGACCGGAATTGAATAAAATTGATCATTTTGTAAACTATGTTAATTTAAATATACCATACAAAACGGTTACAAAATAGAGATTCTGATCTATTCTCTTGTTTCTATAAAATCTGCCATTATATTTTATCATATAGTAGTGTTATATTTCTGTTGCATTCTATCGACAAAAGTTAAGTTACCGTGTCTCCAGATTTGTCACAGATCTTTCCTAAATCTCAACAGATTTAGCTATCCGAATAATCTTTGCTTCGATTTTTTTTTAAGCGAGAGATCAATCTTTATTTTATTTAATTCTACTCCATGATTTTTTCCGTAAAATACGTTCCGAGAGGATATACATCTCACTAAGTGAACTAACGACCCGATTTCTTCTGCGCAGCTGATCGTGCTCTGCGTGACGGTAGCCAGTGTTATTGGTGATCTGCCACCGGGCACACGGCGCAACACTTACTTGCCACCAGAGCCGACGAAAGGTTACACGTACAACAAGCCGCCGGTGTCATTTCCGAAGCCCACACCGACGGGGCCGTTTCCTACTCCGACCTTCCCTAGACCTAGGCCGACGCCGTCCTTCCCCCCAACTAGGCCAACACCATCCTTCCCCGGACCCAGGCCAACCTTTCCCGGGACCAGACCAACGCCCTACCCACAACCTACCAGAACTCCAGGAACTTTTCCGCCGTCAACGGGCACAGGATATCCCAAAATAAGACCAACACCTCCTTTCCCAGACTATACCGGCCAACAAAGCGGTGGTGATAGAACACTTATTGGCCCTGATGTAAGTATACATTGTACTAAACAAAAAATCTGTATCTAATATGTAAGTGATTTTAAAGAAATATAAAACAAATACATACTTTTTTGCTTATAAAAAATCTGCAATTTAGAAACTGTAGCTAAAAAATTAATTTTTCTTTTTTCTAATATAATAGATATAGATCTCTAAAAATTGATAGAACAAACTCTCAAAACTGCGAAAAATCCTATTGCAACAGTTTAAAGTAGAAAGTTCGAATTCCATTTTGGATAAATAATTTAAATAAAACCGTCGATTTATTCAATTGAAAATACAAATATAATTTTCATACACTAAAAAAAATTAAATTTTAATAAATATTTGTTTGAATAGTTCTAAATCAATATTTATTTCGTATTATTTAAACAAATATATATTAATATTTAATAAATTTTTTAGTATTAAATAGAAAATTTTAAATAATTCGGACATTAAAGAAAATTCAAGTATAAAAATAATATAGTACTTATTTAAAAAAAGGAAATAAACAACTCTATTTCTCTGTGCTTACTCCATTTTAGATTTGTAATTAGATCTAATGAACGATCAGATCAAACAGTTCGAAGTGTTCTTAGGCTTGAATTATTTAATCTTCTTACTGTGTTTAGGTTTAATATATCGCAAAAATTGATATTTTAGTTAGCAATATTATGAGAAAACTTTTTAAAAACACTCGGATCGAGAAAGACACAAACACGGTTAGAAAGTTAAATAATTAGGACTGAATTATGTTAATAATACATTGAATTATACATATTGTTACAAATATTATTTGGATTTTAGGATTGAATTATTTAAATAATTCTATCTTAAAATTCATATTGTTTCAATTGTTCACACACATATTTGTATGTAGCGTTGCAGAAAAATGTAAGACATACCATAAGATATTTAACTGGTATAATCTTTCAATTATGAAAAATAAGTACTGACTTAATTCAAATTAATAATTATTTTATACTTTTTATTTTTATCCGAATGAGATGATATAACTGAGGTTTGTATGTATAAAAAAAAGGTTTGTAGGTATAAATATTGCACACGTATTTAATTTTTTAATTAATGAATGCATTGCAGCATGATCATCATCATCACGAACCTGGCATGCCCTTTGACTTCAACTATGCTGTGAAAGAGGACGCTTTCGGCAACGATTATTCACACAATGCCATTAGCGACGGTGAAGTCGTCCGTGGTGAATATAAGGTACAACTTCCGGACGGTAGAACGCAACTTGTGCGATACACCGCGGATTGGCAACATGGTTTTAGCGCACAGGTTTCTTATGATGGAAATCCTCGCTTCGACGGTGGAAATTTCAATCGAGGCTATTAGCTTTAGCGTCGGGTTCTAGGGCTGTTCAATTTCTGTTAAATCAAAAAGACTACAGAACACAACGTCGCATATACTGCATGTAACAATATTTTTAAAGATATTGAAGATTAGTAAGGATATATCATGAAAGTATGATAACTTATGTAGAAGACAAATGTTCGCTATACATTTCTTAATATGATACCGATAATAACGTATTCAGCGTTTTAAAATTCTCACATAACGTTATTCATAAAATTTCAATTTAATTTCTTCCTTATTGAAAATGTGGACAGATAATTTTTGTAACTTTTGAATTTTGTTTTGATATCGATATCTATATATCGATTTGATATTTAAAATTCAAAGGCAAAATTTTACTAAATTCTATTTCTATTTGAAAGATATGAATAATAATTGTAATGTTTATATGCAATTATTAGTCGTGAAAAACTTTTATTTTTCATAGCTCATAGCTGAGGCAAATTATTAATAGAATTTATTGTTATTATTATAATAAACAAAAATCTATTTTTAACACAAAATTTCGTAGTGCTATGTATCTATTCAATCAATTTTACGACAAATTATATATATATTAATGTGATCCAATTTTCCTTTTTTTTTTAGACTTAAATAAATAATTTTAAATAACAAAAAATGATAAATATTTAAGAAACTTAATTCATCTGTGATATACATATAATCATTATACTACAATAATAGTATTATCTACTTCATCTTATGTTCATTAGATCACAAATCAATTTCAACAGTAAATCATAATTGTTGCAAATTGTTGGATCACATTAATCTATACTATAAATAAATCTCCTATATATTTTATTATGCAAATTATATTTTTTAGCACTGCTTTGATAAAAATCACAGAATGAAAAAATAGACATAAAATAGACATATAGTACTCTATTATTTATATTATTCTGTCTTGCTTTATGCACCAAAATCTATTGTTCTCTCTTCAGTATTTGAGAAATTATCACATAAATAATTTAAAACTCTAAATAATTAGTATAGATAATTATCGCTAAGAATATAATATTATAAATATTATAATATAAAATTAATTCGCAATTGAGCTATGTAACAAGGTGGCTACAATCACATACTTGAGAAAAAAAATTTACTTACAATAAAATTTAAACACAATATTAATATCCTCTTTTTCTAAAACACTGCCAGATTTATACAGGGTGTCATGGATATACGGCCCCACTCGTCCCGAGCAGATAGAGTGGACTAAATTAAGTAGAAAAATCCTCTATCATTTTGTAATGCTCGCAATAATTAACGAGATATTAATGTTTAAAGAGAGCCGAATACGCGCGTCCGTTCGACTTACTATTGTCGAAGGTACGACCCACCGAGCGCACGGCGCGCGGGCCGCGAGGAGCGGGATCTAGCAGGCGCGCCGCGTCCTTTGAGCTTAGATGCTCACGATGGGAAGTCCCGCTTCTCGCGGCCCGCGCGCCGTGCGCTCGGGGGGTCGTACCTTCGACAATAGTAAGTCGAACGGACGCGCGTATTCGGCTCTCTTTAAACATTAATATCTCGTTAATTATTGCGAGTATTACAAAATGGTAGAGGACTTTTCTACTCAGTTTAGTCTACTCTACCTGCTCGGAACGAGTAGAGCCGTATATTCATGACACTCTGTATATAAATAGAAATATTTCTGCAACCAACACCTAGTTTCAACTAATATATAAAATATTTTTTTTTACTAATTTCTGTACTAAATAAAATTGTTAAACTTTATTCCATCGATTATCTTTTACTTGACTATTAATAAAACTAATATCTATATACTTAATAGTTCTATATATATAATTATTAACATAAAATTATTAAAGCAACTTTTCTATGTTTTTGCTATGAAAAAACAACGACTAAATGTGAATAAAAAATAGAATCATATGATGTTAATTTTAATAAATATTAATAAATATAATCAAACAAATGTGTAATCTATTATTGCATTTATACTATTATGTATAATTTTTTCATACAATTTTTTAAATATTTACATGTCATATCCATATAAATGTCCTTCTGCATATGCTCTCGGCATATCAAATGAATTTCTACGAATTCTTCTGCCAATTGGTTCTAAATCATTATAACACTTTGTAAAAACTCTCTCTATAGCTGCTTCTGCAACTTCTTTTGATACTTTGTGCACAGCCATTACTGATAGTCGTGCTTTATGCTTTACACAATTCTGTATAAAAATATTATAAAAGTACATTATAAAGTAAACAGTATAAAAACATTAGAAATTAGAAATAACGCTCATACAAAAATAAATATATTCTTAAAGAAAGAGAAGAGAGAGAGATATATAATCACTCCAATCAATCTCCTAATCTGGTAATATCTACCTGATGTGTCGCTTTTATATTAATAAAAGATGAATCGCCTTGTAATAGTGAACTCATAAAACTACAGTGTCCAAGATTTGCTGCTCTAATTTCTGTACAGGCTAGATGATCAATATTTTTCATATCTAACTTATTACGGCAGTAATCAAACATATGAATCATTTCATGTAGAAGAACTCCTCGAACCATGTCTTCATTATATGCTGAATTTTGACAGATAACTATCTGTAAAGAAAATAATTTTGTGTATAGCATACATAATTATGGATAATGTATTGCAAATTAAAAGAATCTATTTTTTATAGAAATATAATATAAAATATTTCATTAGTAAAACATTTAGCAGTCCAAAGAAATTTAGTCAAGCAATTTGGAAAAGTATTTACCTGATTAAATTGTGAATCATATCCACCAGTTACAATCGGATTACATACTTCACAAGAAATGTGTCGTCGAATATCTATTTCACTGGAATATCAATAATAATAATCTAATAAACAATGTCTAATAATAGTCTAATAAACAATAATAGAATAAAATTATAGATTTATCCATATAATATATATCATAAAAAATAACTAACAAACCATCCAGAACTCCTCAGTGCTCCCATCATGAGTTTTATTATAGGACCTAGAAATGACATATAATGAAAAAAATGATATTAGATTTAATTAAAACAAAAAAAAAAAAATATTATATTTATACACAATAAAAGCAAATTAAATTAATAAATTCTATTTATGAAGCATCAAAAGTAAGTTTATGAATCACACTTTGATTTTTATTTTTTCTTGCATAAGAGATATCTTACTTTCTTTTATACATTTATAAACATTGTGTTCGCATCGATTTTTGTCTATTGATTCACGTCCCTGAGTGCCAATTAATATCTTAAACCAACTGTGCTGAAATTTTCTTCCTCTCCTTTCTGGATACATATCAGATCCCCATAAATCTTCATTATCCAAGGCTGTTCCTTGGCTAACATCACTTTCATTTTTTTTCCCTTCATTCTCATTCTTAACTGTCATGGTCGCGCGAATAGGAAAATTGATACGATAGAAATAAATCTAAAAAAATAAATACTAATCACACTAAAATTTATTATACTATCAATCAAATATTTTCATGCAAATAGTGCATGTGTATCAATGTATATTTTCTAATTTGAGGTTATGGTGAATTACATCATCTCACGTGGTTCATCCACACTGGACACTGTCCACAGTTGTGAAACCGTGAAACCACGTGATCACAATTGTAGCCGAACAATTGATAAATATTTAGAATTGTAGAATACAATTAAACAGGGGGAAATTACTTTACGAGTTGCTCACATATTTTATTTTTTAGGTTACCTTGTATGTATTTATTTTAGAAACTGAGTACAAAAGTTTGAGTATTTTATTTTGTTAATTTTATTATGTTTTATTTGTTCAAATTTCATATTACTTTTTGTACTTAATTTCTATAACTAAATTAATTTCTATAACTTAATTTCTTAACACATACAAGGTAACATGTAATATGTAAAAAATAACTTCCATCCCTGCAATTAAATGTAATTGAATGATTAGGTCCAAAAGCATAAATTCATTATATTCAACTATTATTCATTAACAATATAAATTATAATAGTCGAAAAAATAGTACTTTAAAAAAGTATAAATAGAAAAAAATTGGACAATACTCGATATTATCTCTATTATTTTAAATTGAAATGAAAATCATAAACAAATTCAAAATATTTAAAATACTTGATTTAGAATATTTATAATTTCATAGGTCTAAAAAATTTGCTCACATTTATAATTTCTCCTTCGTTTTAAAATAAATCGATTCCCAATCTTGCAACACTTTTCACGTTTGTTCACCAGACGGCGTGTCGTCATGTAAGCGTTGCGTGTATCGACGTGGCATGTTTAGGTCGGTAGGTGGCCGGTTGGAATTATATTATTGGCGTACTTGGCGCACGTTGGAACTGTTGGAAAGCGCATATTCCAACCAATACTTATAGTGGACAGTTGTCAAAATTGTTAGAAAGAACATCAAAACTTACAAAATGAACAAGGTTTTTTTCTTGTGCGCGTTAACGAGTTTAATTTCTGTGGCTTTCGCTGAGACCTGTCAAAAACCTGAGATTGTCGCATCGTCATATGTGACGGAAGATGCGACGGTCCTCACGAATGTCGCTTTTACCATGCAGTTCGTGTTGAAATGCAACAACGGTATAAAAGGAATCAGTTTGTATGCCGAAGTCGAGGGCAAGACGTTGCCGGCAGTCAGACTGAGCGCCGATAATAAATATCAGGTAATATATACATACTTTTTAACATTGCTTATCTTAACATAAGTGAATCAAATATACATTTGAATTAAACAAAGATTGTAAATTAAACATGCGACAAAATCGAACAAAAATAATAACATTTAGAAATATTTAATAATTTACTTATTTTGATTTCAAATTGTTAATTGAAAATTTCATTTGAAATCATCTAACTTCTATACTTTAATAAAAATCATCAATGATAACACGACACTCTAATCAACATGAAAGTCATCAATGATAATTTAATACTTGTGAAATTATTTTGCCTGTGTTATAGATATCCTGGACAGAAGATATCAAGAAAGCAAGGTCTGGCGATTATTACATAAAACTGTATGACGAGGAAAAATATGTCGCTGTTCGTAAAGCAATAAGGAATGGAGAAGATCCTGATAGTGTGAATCCCTTGGCAGTAGTTGTTCTAAATAATCCGGGAATTTTCCTCGGTCCTTGGGTGAACTCCGAATTCTTAGCCGCTTTCTTAGCTATTCTTGTTTCCTATTCGGCATTTTCTGCAAAATACAAACTTCTAGCGTAGAATATTTTTTGTTATTAAAAAATAAACATTAATAAAATATTTGAAAAGTATTATTTATTTCCTTAGAAATAAAACTTAATAAAATAAAATTATTTTTGTATATTTTTATATATTCACCATAAAGTTAAATTATACATTATGTATATAGGATGCGTTTTACTTGGTACTCACAAGGCTCATGTCAATTCCTTGTTTAATATTTGATAAAAATGAAATGATTTCAAGAGTGTTACGAGTGCCAAGTGAAATAAAGCTATAACTACTTTTATTATAATTTACTGCATTCATATCTAAACCATAGGAATTAAGTTTTTTTTTTGAACAAGTAACCGTTAGTTTTTTTTTTATAAATACTATAATCCTTTTCATATAAATTATATGAAAAATGTTCTAAATTATATTATATTATATATTACATTCAAATATACACTTATATAGCCATAGCAAAAATATTATTATTTTAAGATTAACAAAATAGTACAAAATATATCCAGATACAATCAATACATATCCTGTGATGGTGGCTTCCCAAATAAGTATTTCCAAGACGGTGGATACTTCAAATTACTACTGCTTGTTCCTAATACACATATCCATTGATTTAAATAGCACACCAGAGCTATTGCATCTTCTATATTATCCCCTTCGGAACAGAATTTGAATAAGATAGCGCAAGGAATATCAGTATTGGACAGAAAGTTGAAGATGCTCCTAGCAAATCCACCTCCTGGTATCTGCAATCTTTCCTCTCCAGTCACGTCTTTCGGTTTATGCGGAATCCAGTTGAGGTCATCAAAGAGTTTATCAGTCTGAAATTGCAGACTAGGAGAAGCAACATATCTCAACTTAAGATGCTGCGGTTGGACTTCCTTTTTTGCATAATCATGACTGCTTGCAAGAATTATTACCTGTGAAAAAAAATTCGTAAAATAAAGATAATTGCAATATTATTAAAAGAGTACGGAATTAAAATATTACTTTAGCTATTTTCCTCTCGGTGACAAATTGCGTAATTTCGTTGAAAAATTCTAAAAGCTCGCCAACATACGGCGATCGAATTTGTATAACGACAATACGTTCCTTGATCCCTGCGTAAATATCAATCGCCGTGATAAGCTCATTCGAATGCTCATGATAGGCGTTTGCGCCAACGACAGGTATGAATGACGTGCTAAAAATTTGACCGACTTTTGGAAGGTTAAGATTCGAAATGAGTAAGTCAACAGACAGTTGTCCAACATTTCCAACCGCTACTGATGGCAAGATGAGCGTATAATTCTCCAAATCAATATCCTGTGTTAATTTAATCATTTTCACATTTAATAATATTACTATTTCAGAGTTGAAATATGAGGTAAATATTACAAAGCGATATGTCACACATCAATACTCAACAACTCAACCGGTAATACATAAGTGCGAGTTTACATGCACTTCATGCACTTATATTGATAATGAGTGCATTCCGTTTCACACGCATGATGTGAATGATGCATCATTTATCCTTGTGTTCACTGAATGTTAAACTAGGATAAATGATGCATCATGCACATCATACGTGAAACGGAATGCACCCAATAGATCTGTCGCATTGCTTGCACTTTTTACACTTAATATTTTCGTTTTCTCTTTTCAACGCCTGAATGAATATATATTTATCCTGTTTTAAATGCAAACATTTTTGGAGATTTCAAGCAACGTGAACTAACTTAAGGTTTATCAAGCGTTGCTTGAAATTTCCAAAAATGTTTGCACTTAAAATAAGATAAATATATTCAGGCATTGTAAAGAGAGAGAACAAAGATGCTAAGTGCAAAAAGTGCAAACGCGACAAACCTAATTTAATTTCGATGAATTTTGGAACGTATCAATCATATGAAATAAATGAGCGAATTCAATAACGGCAAAGTGGCTAGGCATAGGGTCTGAACACAAGAATTGTCGTAACACTTGCTTAGACTTAAGTTAGACGTAAGTAAAGCACAAGCTTTGCCGTATGATGCACGATTTATTGCAGTCTCTTAGAGACACTGTGTACCAGTTCCAGAAAGTGAAGCAATAAAAAACAGACCTCATGTTTAATTGTTTGGCAAACAGATCTACCTGCTTCATCGACTTAAATTCGCTCAATATAAACTGTGCATTTTTTTTATTCTTTTTTTTTTACTTTTAATACAACACATTATACAATAAGATACATTACAATAAAATTATTTATACATCTTTCAAATAATCTGGCAAAAATGAAATTCCCCCCCCCCCCGCCGATTCTAATCGGCGGTCCTCTTTGGACTGTAGAGACGGAAATAATGCATTGGTGTAAACATCGTTATCATTATTTTTTTATAGTAACGATTTAGTAATGTTACAATTTTTTATAATGGTAACTAAGACTAAAAGTTGGGAAAATCATTTTTGAAAAGTAATATTTGTTAAAAGAAGTACGTAACTCATTATTTTATTAATAAAAAAATAAAAAGTAATGCGTTACTAATATGTTACTCGCTACGTATAACGATTAATGTAACGAATTATTTTTTCTATAAATAACGAATTACTTTTCGAAAATGGCTTTCTCAATCCTGATGCTAGTTATCATTTTAAAAAATTGCAACGTTATTACTAAATCATTATTATAAAAAGTAATAATAATGCAAGTAAAGCATTTCCATTCCTACTTTGGACACATATTTTTTTCGTTTTTTAATTTAACATTTTTCATTTATACAGTTTCTTTTGTATCATAATACACTTTCTTTTATATCTTTCTTTTATATAAAATACAATGCATTCCATGTAATATTAATTATAATTAAAAAAATAAAATTACAAATATATAATAGTTCAATAAAATATACTCGTAAAATTACAAATATATAATAGTTAAGCCTTTATAAGATTACTCCGCACATTTATATCATTGTAATTATTATGCAGCCTATCTAAGATTTCACAATTTCCTTTATGAATGAAATGAAGTAATATTTTAAATTAATTTAAATTAATTTAAATTCAAATTTTATTTGATAAAAACGGATCAATCTTGTAGAAGCCCTCCACCAACTCCGCCAGTTTCGATCGGCAGTCTTCTTTATGATATATTGGCGGCGAGTAGAGAAAGCAGCATTGTAACTGTTGTAAAATTTTTCAATATAATTGGTTTACACATTTAGATCCATAAAGAATCAAAAGCAAGAATCAATCGTATTGAAGAATTTTACAGTTGCAAAACTGCTTTTTCTGCTGAATGCAGCTACTGTTTCACATTTTTATTATTTACATTATTTTGCATACAATTTATTTAATATCAAAATATAATGTATAATGATAATTGTAAAATGAAATATTAAATGTAACATTTAAATAATTAATAATTAAAAATTATTAAAAGTTTTACTGATATCGGGGTACTCAATAAGTTACTTACGGGGTACTTAATCGATTCGTCTCGAATTATTAAGTATCCACACATTTTTAATTATGTTCATTGTATCATTATAATAATCTATTCAAATATATATAAATCTTTTTGAAAAAATTTATCAAGTGAATAAGAACTAAAAATTCCTTCCAATATACACACGATATAATATATACACTATGTATGTATTTTATTATATAAAGCAACCTAAAATATTTAAAAATTAATTAATGTACTGAAATGTGTAAAAATTAATTAATATTCTAGAATAGAAGGACGTCTAGCGCCTGAAAAAATAATCTAGAACACGAACGACCCAACGTGTATAATAACAGGGTATCCAAAATTAAGGGGTGTGTATTAAGAGTTAAATAAAGTTATTTAAAGTATACACTGAGAGAAAATGTTTTGTATTTGTAACTATAATTACATATTATTATAATTATGATTATTACTGCTATAATAATAATAATAGTAATTATGTATATAGTTTTAGCAACAAATGTATATAATTAGCAATCTAAAATGACTATAATTATAGTTATTACCATAAAATAGTTGAAATTAAATAAATATAAAAATGATCAAGTGACTATAATTTTTATAGTAATTTTATGGTAATTATAGTTATAAATACCAAACATTTTTCTCTCAGTGTATATTTTAAATAAAAAATATAAGAGTTGTTTAGTATTTATTATTTTAAATAACTATATTTCTGACTTATTTTTTATTTAGTGTAATAAGTTTCCCGAATCTATTTTATACTTTTTATTTTAAATAAATTTCTGAAACTTATTTTATGTTTTTTATTTTAAATAAGTCATAACAGTTAGTTTACCTAGCTATGATCGGCATTAATTTAAAGAATTTTTTAAATAGAGAATTATTTATTGCAAGTAGTGTCATAAATTAATTTTTTAGCTGAAAAATTAAATAATGATTAACAAGATATTTAATATTTTCAACCAAAGCTGTATTCAGCGTAAATTGTTTCACAATATTAATGAAAAATTGCACATATTTTTATATAAAGGATATATAGAAGGATGTATAGAATATTATCAATATTTATTTAAGTATGAATCATTTTAGAGTATAATGAAAATTGAGACATATCAAAAATACCTCACACACGCGAATAATTACTAATTACGTTAAAAAGAATCGTGTAAGTAATATAGAATAAAACTAGTGCCAGAGAGGCCATAAAGCAAAGCGTGAATATAATGTAAAGCGTACGATATAATGTACGTTTGACAAAATTGTGTAAAATATGAATAATTGAATAAATAATAACTGAATATTTTTCAAACACAATAGTTGGGAATCTAAACGACGCGTGACGAATAGCGAGGGGTGGGAGAACACATCACGCGGTGCGGTGGTTGACTACGTCATCACTATGGCATTCGCTCGGCGACTTCAAAGCGAGATACACGTAGTGTGAAACGTTCCGCGCATTAATCCACAAATTAAATGTCTACAAACGCGAATTGATTAATGCTCATAATTTGTGACATAAATATATCGAGCGACTGCCATTCGTATATAGTTATATTATCACACGCTCGAAATATATGATAGTTTAGAAATTACGAATTATCACGTTTAGACCGGTATTTT